AATTAAGATAAAATTTAATGAATAAAGGAGTAGGTCCTACATCGAGAGGATTCGAAGATGCTGCTGCGGAAGTGCCTTCACGCCGGGATTAGGTGCCTTGATTCTAAGTCCTGAATGGGGGCGCAAAACAAAGGTGAGTGGACCAAGTTCATATATACAATAATAATAAAACAGTTATCAAGATACTAACCCCCACAGTTTATATAAATGAAAACTACTAGCATAATAAGTGATGGATTTAAATCAAAATCCTAGCATGCCAAAATATCTCAAAAGCCATATCGCGGAAACTCATTGCAGAAATCAAAATATTAAACGTCTCATAAATCGTCTCGTAAGCGCGGTGTGCTGCTAGTAAGATCACCGAATAAATATAACTCCCGGCCCAATGCCTACACCTAAGTCTCTGTGCCCGTAGCCAGAGATAACTCTCTCCCGGCCCAATGCCTGTCACCGTGTCCCTCAGCCTTTCGCTAGGGATTATTTCTCCCAGCCTAAATGCCAACACCAGATTCTCGCCCCAGGCGGCATAGTATCCACTAGGTACGCACAAATAGTTACGCCTCTCTTAAATAACCACTTCATAGCATAGGTTACCGATCATCGTCTACACTATAAAGAGGGTTCAAAAACATGTTCTAGCATCCTATCGTCATCTATCAGATAGTCTACCAGTTCATGGTTTTAATAGAAAATACGATATATTAAAATATAGCTCAATATAGGCTAACAATTAATTCCTCACCAAAACACGAGACGATAATCAATATATTAAATCAATAGGTTTCACATAAATCAAATTATAAATCCGTAGGCATGCTAATCATTTATGCAATTAAATTATCAAATCATGTAATTTTAGAAGGGGTCCACTCATAGTACTTAGCCGCCAAAAACTGCGCCACTAGTGAAGACGGAAACGTCACAATAATTGCCCCTAAGCACATAAAAAGTCCAATAAATAAAACTATATAATAGCAATTGAATTTGGGAAAACGGACATTGGAAATGGATTCAGAACGTCGAATTACCCTAAGAAGGGTCCCGGACGAAAACCCGAAAAGTCAACCCTAAAGTCAACGTTGACCGGGGGTCAACGGTCAAATTAGGTCAAACGGGTTTTAGGCTTGAAATCCGGATTAGGGTTTAGGTTTAGGTTAAATAGGGTTAGGACCTATTGGGTTTTTGGGTTAAAAATGGTTTAGGATGAAAAATGGTGGTTTGGGCTTTAAACCCACACACACACACACACACAGCCCATTCACACCAAAGCCGGCCCTAAGGCCTCACAAAGGGCAGGGCTTTAAGCCCTTTGACAGAAATTGGCCCAAGGACCTTCAGTATTAAGGCCCGTGGCCTTTTGGGTCTTGAAAACAAAATAACTTAAAAATAAAAGGGTGCGGGCTGGGTTACTGGGCTAGCCCAATTGGCTAAGGCCCGGGGGGTTCTAATGGCCTGAAAGGCCTGGTTGCCGAGGAAGAAGGCCGGAGATTCGGCCGGAAAACCACCCAACTTTAAACGACTATAACTTTGTCACTACACAACGAAATCAAGCGAGAAAAAAACGAAAGTTGTAGCCCTTAAAGAGACGAAGAGAATGGTACCTCACACGACATATAACTCGCCGTGGTTTGGCCGGAAAACGCCTCGAAAGCCGTCGGACTCGCCGGAAACTGGGTAAGATTCAAATGAGTATAACTTCTTCAATACTCAATGAAATTGAGTGAAACAAAAAGGAAAGTTATAGTTCTCAACGAGACGAAGAGATTATACCTTACACGCCGGCCAACTTGCCATGGTTTGGCCGTAAATGGCCTCGAAAGGGGCGGTGCTCGCCGAGCTCGTGTACGGGCTTCGTGGTTTGACTTTCAAGATGCCAATACTATGGTTGAGTTCGTAGCGACGAGATAAAGACGATGGTGATGTTTGTTGGTAAGAAAAACTCTCGGAAGGGTTGAGATAGAGAGAGCTGAGAGAGTGAGGGAGAGAGAGTTGCGGGAGAGGTGAGGGAGAAGAGAGAACTGAGATAAGAGAGGGAGACCAGAAAACATAAAATAAAACAAGGTGGGCCCCACGGGCTCACCAATTAAGGCTTTAAAACAATTTTTAATTAACAAATGGGGTTGGAGTGTTTCAATCTACCACCCTTATAAAAAAATTTCATCCTCGAAATTTAAGATAACATACTACACTGAAAAACTCAAAAATACGAAAAAGGATACACATATATATACGTAACGAAGAAATCAAATCAGAGCGGTTGCACAAAAGGAAAAATGCCATCCCGTCGCGATCGGGTTGCAATGATTCCATCTTCCGTGCCTCCAGGCTCAAACTTTATTTCCCCATCAGTGTAAAAATAGGAAACATACTTTAATAAAATATAAAGTCGAAAACACAAAATAATTTAAGGCTAGATAACGCCAAAATAGATATGTACTAACATATATTCCAAAAACTCGAATCAACTTAAAAACGAAAACAGAAATACTTTTCCAAAACATTTGTAACGACAAAAACAAATAACTAGTAATGGAAATTAAAATACTTTTACTGAAAAACCAAAACTGAAAATGAGAGTGGGTCTTGCCCAAGAATTCGAAATGTCACGTACTCCGAAAATAGATGTGTCTTTGGGTCGAGTCCCAAGAAGAACAATTCTGAATCTGCACCAGCTGTTGTAGACGAATCTTCTTGCCAACTTGCCTAATGAACCCAACAAATAAGCTATCGATATACCGATCGGCCGCCCGTGATATCGATCACACATTTGTTGTCTCGATAAGCAAGCAGTAATTTCCTGATGATGAATAATTTCACACGTCGTAAATTCGATCCTCCGAATACAAGCTCACACAACTCCTCTAACAACCAATGTTACCTGTAGAAACTCTAGTACCATGTCGCAACAGTGCCATACCCAAACCAAATAAAGACGATGGTGATGTTTGTTAGTAAGAAAAACTCTCGGAAGGGTTGAGATAGAGAGAGCCGAGAGAGTGAGGGAGAGAGAGTTGCAGGAGAGGTGAGGGAGAAGAGAGAACTGAGAGAAGAGATGGAGACCAGAAAACATAAAATAAACACAAGGTGGGCCCCACGAGCTCACCAATTAAGGCTTTAAAACAATTTTTAATTAACAAATGGGGTTGGGGTGTTTCATCTCGAGCTTTTTTCCTCTTCTTCTTCCGTCGACTTCCCGTAGAGGAGGCTCAAATATGGTAGAGAACCTGCATCCATCAAATATTGCAGACAGACAGATTACATATGAACATTCCCGTAAACAAGAAGAAGAAATTAAGAAGGAAGCTTTTGCGAAAACAAAAGAACACCAGCTCAAAAGTATTGTAAAACAACTTACTGTTGTAGAAACCAAAATGGTAACTCCAAGATTCGGCACTTTGAAATAACTAAGAAAAGAAATTTTGATGATAAGTGAGTCTACCCAGCTCAAGAAACCAAAACGAGAAACAGGAAAAGGAAACAAAACAGAAGAAAACATGAAGAGAATGAATAGCAATTAGCAAGAAATCGGGAAGATATAGACCTTTCGATCCATCAAGAGGGAAACACATTGATGAAAGTAATTCCTAGTAACCACCTAAACAACTTTAGCAACGATATCATCCCTGGGGGCAGATCTAAACTTGTAAAGAGCGTCCTCATGACTCATCATATGGATGGATCCCACTATGGGGATGTAAGGCTCAATCTCTGGCCCACCAAACTGGCCCTCCATCACCTTATCGATTCTATGGGAAACATCAACCGGTGGAATGGCCCAAACGGAATATGAGTACAGCCTCCTGCAGCTTTCCCTCTTCCCTTCTACCGCCACCATCACATCTTCATCTTTGTCTGAGCAATTATTCTCTATGCTCTCAGGCTTGTGGTTGTGTCCCATGACCGAAACTATGCTATTCACATAACCAACAAACTCACCTCGTGTTTCAGTGGGAATATATGAAAGCTTTTTAGTACAAAGGTTAAAGCAAACTATGCGTCCATCATTGTGAACCATAAGAAACTGATTCATTCCACACAATAAGCTTCAAATCAAGGTGACACCCCAGGGGTAATCGTTGGAACTCAGATGGTTCGGGTATACCACGAAATACCTCGTCACTTGTATCAAAAGAAATGATCACTCTCCCGCCTTCTGGGTCATCAAAAGTGTCATAAACAGATATTTCCTTATCTTGCTCAATTCCCAGCCAAAAACACATTCCCTTGAAGCACATCAGGAACCCCGTCAGGCCAAAACAAAGTAGTTTCAGCTTCTAAAGAAACGGTGTCGACCTCTTTCCAAGAATCACAACTGATGGTGTATGTATGCTACCGCTTTGTGTGAAACAGTAAGTGTCATAATGTCATCTGACTCTTGAGTATAAGTAGTAAAGGCCACAAAATTGTACTCGTTAGATTTGGTATCATAGCCAAATCCAGGATGAAAACCAGTATCAATATGTTATGGCCAATTGTAATCCTCCCGCAGGTCCAAACCTAATCTGGGCCACATTGGAAAGCATGGCTCATCGGGAACACGAATGAAATGAATTCCTCAATTCCGGGATTGCATAAAACAAAGCTACTCTTACTATATAGTAAAACAATGCCATTGCAGTGGCCTATAATATGCAGTTGTTCCGGGAGTCCGACCTTCTGAATCAAAGAGTGAGGAAAAACGATTTCCTCGACACCAACAAGAGAGTAGCTATTGCTATCCTCGTCATTGATATTATCATCGTCTTTGCATAACTTAAGCAACAGGTATACTTGTTCAGTTTCCTCCTCCCCATGCTGCCGCTGCACTACTAATCTCTTGAAAAGGAGGTCACGAGTGGTGAGGCTGTTGTTGGCGGAGTTGGAGAGGTGCTTCAATGCGAAATTCGGATTGGTGAAAAAAAAAAAAATCCCTAATCTGTCCTATCATGTTTCTTTCTTTCCTCTTTTCCTCTCTTTCCCTGCACCTTCCCGCTCGGCAGTATGTCGTGTTTCATCATTATATCAGGTCCACACGCCAACATTATTATATTATAAACTTTTGCCTTTGTTGACTCAAGATCTTGACTTATGTTTAAGTATCATCCTTCGGCAACGCAAACGCAGTTGTTGCCATCTTTTCAGTCTGTGATCTGAACCACTGCTATGCCCATAACGGTGGATACCTCCATGACAGCCCACGAAGCCTCCTCTTCGTCCTCCTCCAAGTCCAAACTCTGGAAGTACGACGTATTCTTGAGCTTCAGGGGCGAGGACACACGCTATGGCTTCACGAGCCACCTCCACGAGGCATTAAAAGCCAGAGGTTACCGGGTCTTTATTGATGAGGACGATCTACAAAGAGGGGAAGAAATAAAAGAACTGTTAAAGGTAATCGAAGAGTCGATGATCTCTATCATTATCTTCTCAAGGAGATATGCGGATTCGAGTTGGTGTCTTGACGAGCTGGTGAAGATCATGGAGTGTACAGACGAACTGGGGCGACATGTTTTACCAATATTCTATCACGTTGATCCTTCGCATGTCAGGAAGCAGGACGGAGATTTAGCCGAAGCATTTCAGAAGCACGAAAAGGACATCCGTGAAGAAAAAGATGACAAGAAACGTGAAGCTAAACAAGAAAGGGTAAGGCAGTGGAGAGAGGCTCTCACAAAGGCTGCAAATTTGTCTGGCCACCATCATAAAATCGCTAACAATGGGTAATCATTCAGCTGCTTTTCAAGATTTGAGTTGTATTACTCTAATTAACATGCTTAATTAATACACCTTAATCTCTCAAGTTTATCCTTCACAGAAGCTGCTAATTTTAGCGAACGACTTAATCTCTCAATTAATTGACATGCTTAATTAACATTTTACATAATCTAAACATTCATTCACATGCTTAATGAATACACCTTAATCTCTCATAAGTAACCTAAACCGTAATTGGAGTTTAATTCATACGCCTAACTTTTATTTATCAATGAATTCTTTTATTCAAGTTCATTATATATATATATATATATATATTATGAAGGGAAGAAGGAAAGAAAATTGTTTATGTACTGATATATATATATATATATATATATATATATATATATATATATATATATATATATATATATATATTATGAAGGGAAGAAGGAAAGAAAATTGTTTATGTACTGATATCTCCTACCGAGCCTTCATTGATTCCCACTAATGCTTACGAATTCAATTTTTAGGGGCGAAGCAGAGTTCATTAAAAAAATTATTGATGAGAATATTTGTGAATGGCTCACCAACACTAACGAATTACATGTGGCCAAGCACATAGTTGGAATCAATTCACACGTTCAAGATATTATCAGTTATCTTTCAAGTGGTGGATCAAATGATGTTCTTATGGTTGGAATTTGGGGGATGGGTGGATTGGGTAAAACAACAGCTGCCAAAGCCATTTATAACCAAATTCATCCTCAGTTTGAATTGAAAAGTTTCCTTGCCGACGTTCGCGATGCTACAAGTAAACATGATCTGGTTGATGTGCAAAAAAAACTTATTTCTGACATCTTGAAAAAGAAGCATGAAATAAGCTGTGTTGCCGAAGGTATAGGTCTGATAAAACAACAATTTCGACATAGAAAGATACTTGTCATCGTGGACAACATTGATAAAAAGGAACAACTGGATGCAATAGTTGGAAGTCATGATTGGTTTGGTCCTGGAAGTAGAATTGTCATAACGACACGAGATGAACGTCTACTACTAAATGTGAACAAAACATTTCAGGCTAAGAAAATGAATGAAGAAGAAGCTCTTGAGCTATTTAGTTGGCATGCCTTTAAAAATAGTTGTCCTAATCAAGGATATCTTGAAGTTTCAGAAAAATTTGTTTCTTACTGTGGAGGTTTACCACTAGCGCTTGAAGTTTTAGGATCTCTTTTGATTAAAAGATCGTTGGAAGAGTGGGAAAGTCAATTGGAGAAATTGGGAAGATATCCAGATGGAAACATTGTAAATCGACTCAGAATAAGCTTTGACGGGCTAGATCCTTCAGAGAAGGCTATATTTCTTGACATATCTTGTTTCTTTATTGGAATGGACAAGAATTATGTCACAAAAGTATTAGATGGATGTGGACTTTTTGCATCAATAGGAATCAGTGTCCTCCGTGAACGATGCCTTATAACTGTTGAAGACAACAAGTTGAATATGCATGATTTGCTGCGAGAAATGGCCAGAGTAATCGTTTCTGAAAAATCTCTTGGTCACCCTGAAAAATGGAGTAGGTTGTGGAATCGTCAAGAGGCCGCCGAAGTCTTGAGAAATAAATCTGTAAGTACATTCCCAATAAAATTTTGCATAATGCATCCTACTTGAAAACATATATGTAACCTACGTATGTCTATTATACACTAAACAACATTTATGTGTAAATATATTCACCGTAGGTGATTTTGCCAAATGAATAATAATATATGCAAATAATCCGTTTCTTACACATTTTGTTAACAGGGAACTGAAGAAGTTGAAGGACTTGCTCTAAATTTCCCTTTTACTCTAAGCTCTAGCATGCCTAGTTTCAGTACAGAAGCATTTGCCAATATGAAGAAACTGAAATTCCTTCATCTCAAATATGTTCAGCTCGAGGGAGAATACAAACGTCTTCCCAAAGAGTTAATATGGTTGTGTTGGGAAGGATGCCCTTTAGAGTCCATAGCATATGACTTTTTTGATCAACCAAGACTAGTTATTTTAGATATGAAGTATAGCAAACTGGTACAAGTTTGGGAGGGTTATAAGGTACGATCAATTACACATGATGATGTTCTGTTTCTATTTGTTTTTGGATTTCCTTTTTTTTTTTATGACATCTTCCTTTTGGATATTAATTTCAATTTTCCTTTGGTTTTCTGTAACAGTTGCTAGAGAGGTTGAAAATCCTGAATCTCAGTCATTCCCTATTTTTAATTAAATCACCGGACCTTTCACAAGTCCCAAATCTTGAAGAGTTGATACTGGAAAATTGTAGGAGTTTGTCCAAGATTCACCCCTCCATTGGTCAACTTCAAAAACTTTCTTTGGTGAACCTTAGCGAATGCGTTAAGCTTAGTTCTCTTCCAAGGGATTTCTATAAGTTGAAATCTGTTGAGACTCTTCTTCTTAATAGCTGTTTAGAATTCAGAGAAGTGCATGAGGATTTAGGGGAGATGATATCATTGAGAATACTTGAAGCAGATAATACAGCCATATCACAAATACCATCTTCCACAGTTAGATTGAAGAATCTCATTCTTTTATCCCTAGATGGTGCGGAATTAGAACATGATGCAATCCCTCAGGATCTTGGGAGTCTAATTTCTTTACAAGTTTTGGATCTTCAAGGGAATGATTTTCATACCCTACCCAGCCTAAGTGGTCTTACAAAGCTTGAAACATTGAGTTTAAATAACTGCTTTAACCTTCGTACAATCCCTGATTTACCAACAAATTTGAATTTTCTGTATGCCGATAATTGCCATGCATTGGAAACAATGCCCGATTTTTCGGAAATGTCAAAGATGACAGAGTTGAGTGTAAGAGATTCGCACAAACTCACTGAGATTCCAGGCTTGGATAAGTCATTAAACTTCATGACATTGATTGATATGAGGGATTGCACCAATCTCACAACTGATTTTGTGAAGAACATCCTACAGGTACCTCACACTCTCTCTCTCTCATTGCCTTCCTATCGTGCACATGCACACACAAACGCACGTTTACATGTGTATGTATGTATGTGTGTATGACACTTGCATTGTATATGTAGGGATGGACTCTGTGCGGATTTGGTGGCGTTTTACTCTCTGGGAATTTTGTTCCTGATTGGTTTGAGTTTGTTAACCAGAGCAGTACAGTCAGTTTTGATATTCCCCCGAATGATGGTTGTACTTTTGAAGGGTTGACTCTGTGCTTCTTGATAAAACATGTACTTGGAGGTAAATTTGGCATTACTGTTATAAATAATACCAAGTGTACAAAGTTGCAGGCTTACTTATGCAGCATATATGGGAATACGCCTATACTTTGGCAAGGACAACTATCGAACGATAAGCTGAAATTGCAAAGTGGGGATAAAGTTGAAGTTCAACTTTCAGTAAATTCTTGTTTTAGGCCATCAATTAGAACAATGGTTAATCTAGTGTGGAACAAACCTATGAAGGAAAATACGCATGATTTGGACCAAGCTAGTTATGTTTTTGACCAACATCCAGCTCGGTTCTATGAGAAGTCATCTGATAATTCTGAGCCATCTTATGATTATGATCTCAGTAAGTACATCGGTAGTACTATAGCAGTGCATGATCATGGTCCTCTCAGCCTTGCGCGTTCACATTTTTCCTTGTCTTCTAATACTTTTCCTGCAGGCCATCATATTCAGCCTCAAACTCGTTCTGAGAATCTCTCAGTACTCTTCCAGCCACAGGGTTCGGCAGTCAATGACAGAGGAGATCAGATAGCCGACCCAATGGAGGAAGATTTTCTTACGCGCCTTTCTCAGTCTCATCATTGGAAGCCACAGGGTTCGGCGGTCACGACAGAGGAGATCAGATATCTGACCCAATGGACGAAGATCTTCGTACGTGTCTTTCTTTATCTATTCATCATTGGAAGCCACAACGTCCGGCAGTCTGTGATAGAGGAGATCAGATATCCGACCCAATGGACGAAGATCCTCTTACGCGCCTCTCTTTGTCTCTTGATTATTCATCATCTACTTGTTCAGGTAACATTTAGCCGGACACCTGAGTCTCTTGGCCTTTACCATTTGGAGATAGTGAGACTATGAGAGTTGAATAGATTGTAGAGCTGTTCATGTTAAGATAAAAAATCTCCTCCGCAAGACTAAGAAATGATGGATCTTTCAATAGAAAATCTCCGAAATTTTCTCCACTTTCAAACATTTTGCCATCATTTGCAATCCGACTCGTGTTCTGAAGCTCAATTTGCAAGGCATGGATAAAGTTGAAGTTGATCTAATTTTGGCAGGATCTTATATAATTATGTTTCATTGAACCTGCATCCATCAAATATTGCAGACAGACAGATTACATATGAACATTCCCGTAAACATCAAGAAGAAATTAAGAAAGAAGCTTTCGTGAAAACAAAAAAACACCAGCTCAAAGGTTAACATAAACAACAACTTACTGTTGTAGAAACCGAAATGTAGTTTTGGCACTTTGGAATAACTAAGAACATAAAATTTGATAATTAGTGAGTCTATCCCAGCTTAAGAGACCAAAATGAGAAAGAGGAAAAGGAAACAAAACAGAAGAAAACATGAAGAAAATGAATAGCAATTAGCAAGCGATCGGGAAAATATATACCCCTTGATCCATCAACAAGGAAACACATTGGTGATAGTAATTCCTAGTAACCACCTGAACAACTTTAGCAATGAAATCATCCGTAAGGGAGATCTAAACTTGTTAAGAGCGTCCTCGCAACTCATAATATGGGTGGATCCCAATATGGGGATGTGAGGCTAATCTCCGGCCCACCAAACTCTGCCCAGAGGCCCTTGAAACATCAGCCAGTGGAATGGCCCAAACGGAATATGAGTACCGCCTCCTGCAGCTTTCCCTCTTCCCTTCTACCGCCACCATCGAGTCTTCATCTGTCTGAGCAATTATTCTCTATGCTCTCAGGCTTGTGGTTGCGTCCCATGACCGAAACTATGCTATTCACACAACCAACAAACTCACCTCATGTTTCAGTGGGAATATATGTAAGCTTTTTCGTACAAAGATTAAAGCAAACTACGCGTCCATCATTGTGAACCATAAGAAAGTGATTCATTCCACACAATAAGCTTCAAATCAAGGTCACGCCCCAGGGGTAATCGTTGGAGCTCAGATGGTTCGGGTATACCATGAAATACCTCGCGACTTGTATCGAAAGAAATGATCACTCTCCTGCCTTCTGGGTCATCAAAAGTGTCATAAACAGATATTTCCTTACCTTGCTCAATTCCCAGCCAAAAACACATTCCCTTGAAGCACATCTGGAACCTGTCAGGCCAAACCAAAGTAGTTTTGGCTTCTAAAGAAACGGTGCCGACCTCTTTCCAAGAATCACAAGTCACAACTGATGGTGTATACTACCGCTTTGGGTGGAGTAATAAGTCTCACAATGTCATCCGACTCTTGAGTATAAGTAGTGAAGGCCACAAATTTGTACTCGTTGGATTTTGCTTTGATATGCCATGACAAGCCAATGGCATGCCAACTCTCGCTTTATGCCAACAAGCAACGAGGTTACGACTATCTATGCACATTGTCGTGATATGCATTGACATGTCGACATACATAGGGTATCCTAGCCTTGCTAGGACATGTCATATCGGCCCTCAGATCAGACATATCAAATGCGCAGAACAAGCACGTCAAAACATATCTAGTGCCATTTCAATTGAAGGGCCATGATAAGCGAAGTTAGTGACAAACACTCGACCCAAGGGCACCCTGGAAATAATAACGAGTTGACTGAGCTAGGTGATGACCGCTTTCGGCGACAGTTTTCAAACAAGCAAAAACACGATCTCAGAATATATCTTATCTCACATACTCTAAATTTAGACGAGTTACAAAATTTAAGATTTGCATCATAAATCCAAGCACAAAGGCGATATTTGAGATCCCAATTCGAACATCATGAAATAAATTTTAAAACAGACATTGAAATCGAAACTGAAATTTCATAGTATAAAAGTTTGGATCCAATATATTTGATTGAATATTCTGCTACAATTGCAGTAGAACTTATATACAAGGTTTTTACAGAGGCATGCAATAAACAAAGGACAGAAAGTGACATCCATGCTGTCCTTGTTGAAGCAGTCAGTAACCACATGCAGTGGCCTTGCTGTCCACGTTAATAGTGCATCCACACATGCTATCCTAGCTGTGAAGGAATGATCATATTCCTTCTGTCCATATTCCTTCTGTCTAGCATCAGAGTAGAGCACCTTTAACACTCCCCCTCAAGTAGGAGTGTGGATATCAATAACACCCAACTTGCCAAGATGTGAATGGAAGGTAGGTGCTCTCAGTGGCTTTGTAAATATGTCTGCTATTTGACGTCTCGTCTGCACATGAGACGTCTCGATCTCTCCCCTCTGAATCCTTTCACGGACAGTATGACAATCCAGCTCTATGTGTTTGGTTCGTTCATGATACACAGGGTTCGCTGCAATATGTAGAGCAGCTTGATTGTCACAAAACAACCTTGCCGACTCAGGATGATTTACACGCAAATCTTTCAACAAATTCCTCAGCCAAGTAAGCTCACAAGTCGTTGCAGCCATGGAGCGATACTCGGCTTCTGCTGAAGATCTTGCCACCGTGACTTGCTTTTTACTTTTCCACGATACAAGTGATTTACCAAGGAAGATGCAAAAACCTGTCACTGATCGTCGTGTGATCGGACATCTAGCCCAATCCGCATCACAGTAGCCAACCAAATTAAGTTGGTTCTCCGTAGGGAATAGTAACCCTTGTCCTGGTGCTTCTTTCAGATATTGGAGGAGACGATGTGCTGCTTTAAGGTGATGGAGTGTTGGTTCTTGCATGAACTGACTGAGATTATTCACTGCATACGTAATATCTGGCCTAGTGATGGTAAGGTATATTAATTTTCCAACCAGACGTCGATATCGAGTCGGATCCTTGAGGGCATCACCACCTGTTGTTGTCAACACTAAATCGGGTTCCATAGGTACCTTGGCAGGTTTTACGCCAAGCAAGCCAGCTTCTTCCAATATGTCCAGAGTATACTTTCGTTGGCAAATGGAGATCCCAGCTTTGGACCGTGCAACTTCGACACCCAGAAAATATTTTAATGGTCCGAGGTCTTTAATTCGAAAACATCCACTAAGAAATTGCTTGAGTCCGTATAATGACTTGTGAAGTCGACAAACCATAGTCTCCCCCTGTCGACGATAACCAGGAGGGGGTAACATATATACTTCCTCATGGAGTGCACCGTGAAGGAAAGCGTTTTGGACATCCATTTGGTGAAGAGACCAGCTGCGAACAGCAGCAATGGTCAAGAGACAGCGGACAGTAATGAGCTTAGCAACGGGGGCGAACGTCTCTTTGTAATCAATACCTTCGCGCTGCGTGAACCCTTTGGCAACGAGGCGAGCCTTGTAGCGTTCGATGGTACCGTCGGAATGATACTTGATTTTGAAGACCCATTTACATCCAATGGGGCGTTGGTGGAGGGGTAAAGGAACCAAAGTCCAGGTGTGATTGGCTTCAAGTGCGTCAAGCTCAGAATGCATAGCTGCAAGCCAGTGAGGGTCATGGCGTGCCTGCTCATAGGAGGCTGGTTCAACTAAGTGAGAGACATTGTGAACAAAGGAACGATGAGCATGAGAGAGGCGAGCATAAGAAACATACCTGTGAAGAGGATATCGGGTGCCGGACATGGTGGAAGTATATATGTTACCCCCTCCTGGTTATCGTCGACAGGGGGAGACTATGGTTTGTCGACTTCACAAGTCATTATACGGACTCAAGCAATTTCTTAGTGGATGTTTTCGAATTAAAGACCTCGGACCATTAAAATATTTTCTGGGTGTCGAAGTTGCACGGTCCAAAGCTTGGATCCAATATATTTGATTGAATATTCTGCTACAATTGCAGTAGAACTTATATACAAGGTTTTTACAGAGGCATGCAATAAACAAAGGACAGAAAGTGACATCCATGCTGTCCTTGTTGAAGCAGTCAGTAACCACATGCAGTGGCCTTGCTGTCCACGTTAATAGTGCATCCACACATGCTATCCTAGCTGTGAAGGAATGATCATATTCCTTCTGTCCATATTCCTTCTGTCTAGCATCAGAGTAGAGCACCTTTAACACATAGAATTGAGAGTTAATTCATACAGAAAGAACAAGTCCTTGCTAAAGGTCAAAATCCTCGAGCTTTCGAACCCTGTCACCAGCAACCAAACCCTGAAACCCTAGAACACAAAAACAAAGTAAAACAACAAAAGCACTAAAATTTAGCATAATTTTCGCGTTCGTTATCTTCTTCGTGAAATGTCAGCGAGGGGAGTGGTATGGCGGCCACTTCAGAGCTCTGCCCCCGGTGAGTTTGCCAGCGCCGGGTCGATTTTCCGATGAGTTTGCCAACATCATCAATTAAATATTACCGTCATCCCATTGGTAACCACCCTGTCGATATGCAGGCCCTGAATTCAGAAGACCATATGGGGCAGGGCGATCACCAAGAGGAGGAGGGTAATAGTAATATTCTGCAACAGCGGCTCCGGCCCCCAGACTCAGGTGTGCGAAATTGAAGGTTAACGAATTGTAGGCAGCCATCGTGCTCATTTCATAGGTTCTGTAACAACTAAAACTCTACACGACGCCGACAGAAGAAAGGCCTTCTATTTACTTTCACCCGAAAGCCCAATGGACAACTTATCCCAGCCCACATTAATTCGGCCCTTAAATGCAAGTACTTGGGTCTCCCGTTGCTGTTGCTTGTACATCATTCTTTCTTTCTACCACATCATTTGTTTAGGGAGTTTTAACGATACATTCCCGGTATTGTTTACTTTTAATGAAAAATCACATTTTTACATTTCTCTGGTACTATTCACTACACATGTATTTATCATTTTTCATTAAAACTAATGTTTTTTTGGATTTTCGAAAATACGAAAAATGATCCTTAATTTCCTTCACAATCTAAATTCAAAAAAATCATATTCATCTGAAGAAAAAAACACCGGGTTGGGGGGTTGGGGTGGGGGGGGGGTGGGAATGCTTTCTTATCATACGTGTGAAATTATACTAAAACATAAACGTCTGATAGCAACTCCTCATTTTTCAATCTCATTTCATTAATTTTGTATCAAATGCAAGAAAAATTCAATCACTGACCAAAAAAAAAAAAATCAAAGTTTACAATCCACACAGAAATCCCAAATTGCAAAACAGTAAAATTCAACAGACACCACCTTTCATTTCATCATTCCAAAATAAATTGAGATTGGATACATACCTGTCATTAAATATGTCCGTCCTCTTAATACCAAAACACCACCAATCAAATAATCAATTTTGTGACAAAAAGTTTGGAGCCATAAACTGAAAGTCGTGACCTAAAACTTCCAAATTCATTGTATTTGTAGTGGCCGAGCTTAATCTATACCAGAGAATGCTTTAGTTCCAGGAACGACATCGTCACAGATTGCCGGGATATGAAAGTACTCCACAACTGCTACCTCACTGTGGCCGTATGTGAGCCAGAATTTCCAAAGCCGCCGACTACTCGAATTCCTCGTAAAATCCTCCCCACGGAAATTCTTATATTGAAATTGCATTCTTCTCAAAGAAATATCTCTCGAAGACGAATGCCATTGAGAGGCAATCATCACTAGTTTCTCCCGAAGGCATGATCCCTCAAGAAAGAATGTATTTCAGTCAATTTAATGATGGTCGTGGCCGGGGTCAATGAAGAAAGCTCCCTTCAACTTAGCTTTTTTATTTTTGTACCACATTAATGTACTATTTGACATGACAAGTGATACATATAAATGACATCTAATTAAATAGAAGATTTAAATTATGACATTGCAGAATAAAAAATAAAAAATAAAAGGAACTAAAATTTTTATATTGTCAACTTTTCCTAGTTTTTAGAGTTATTAAAAGTGCTTTCAAACAATATTCTCAAAGTATTATGATGATGTTAGTAGAAAAAAATGTAAGTGCTTTTAAAGGATAGAATTTTACTAAAATTTTTTACGTTGCTTCTAGTATAGTGCTTATAAACAAAAATGGCTTTTAGAAAAGAAAAGTGACAAACAGAAGTGGTTTGTAAAGTGCTTATCCGTTTTACAAAGTGTTTTTTCGTAGAGACCAATTTTATTTATAATACAGCACATAGAGTTTGGGGGTTTGTTGGTATGGTAATGTTTACTAGCTAATGGTGGCTAACATATAAGTTAAGGGCTCATCTATTAACGTTTTACAAACAGCTTTGAAACATGAAAATTTTATCACATGCTTTACAAGGACCCATCATTAACAACATCAATACTTTCTATCGACTTGAATTTTCCAACATGCACAACACTTCATATGTGAATATCTTATCACAAAAAACTTTGATATAATTAGGAGTGAAAATTGCACAATATAAGTCATCTTTAATTTTGACAAATTTGATATGAGATCCTTGTACTCTTCAACATGTATAGGGATGGATTTCTTGTGGATACGGTGACATTTATCTCAATTGGATTTATGGCATTCTTGAGTTGTTTGAGTTTGCTTATGAGGAGAATGTAGCTGACTTTGTTATGCTTAAAAGTGATGATTGTCATTTTAAAGAGTTGATTGTTTGATGTATTTACTCGTTAAGTGAACAACATAAATGTCATCTTGAAAATATTGTTATTAATTATACCAGGCGTACTGCTTTGCATGCCTTGATAACATTTACCTAAGTAGTACCAAAATCTTGTAGATGCGTAAGGGATTATCGTTAGCAAGAGAGATATCGAACGATTAGCTGATCAATTTAGCCGGTTGACATTGCAGATGAGGAAAGGGATTATGTCTGAATCCCTTCTTCCTAATTCACTAAATTAGGAGATTCGTGTCATTAAAATTTGGTTAAACAGTTGAAATTATTATAACTTTTAAACTAGACCCCTGTTTGTAGCCGTTGGATTAAATTTCAATGACACAGATCTTCAGATTTGATGAATTAGGAGAAATGATCCAAAGAGAATCACTTTCCTGCAGATGAAATAGGAGGAGGTAGATCTTAATTGTTTCTACCCTTGTATTCTTGAAAAGAAATGTTAGGAGTACTTGCTTCTGCCAAACTAAAGATTTTTCAATGTGATCGTCACATGAGACAGTACACTATGTGTTCCTAAATAAATGGTCAGATATATGTGTTAAAAAGTTAATAACTTAAAAATTAAAATTTTTCAATACTTATGTAAAAACATATGATATAGCATACGTGTTTCTATTACAACTAAAAATTTCTCCCGCCAAACTCCCCCATTCAACTCCACGTGTAACTGAGCCTCCATAATTGATGGTGAGTCTGGACCTCATTGTTAATTTAATAAAAAAATACCATTAAAAATAATTATTCTCTCTCTCTCTCACCCTTCCCCTTCCTCTTCCTCCATCTCGATAAATCCAAGAAAACCAAAGTACATTTCCCTCCGACGAGTTTGCCAACATCATGAATTAAATATTACCGTCATCCCTTTGGTAATCACCCTGTACAGGCCCTGAATCCAGAAGCCATATGCGACAGGGCGATCACCAAGAGGAGGATGGTAATAGTAATATTTCTACGGCGGCTCCGGTCAGGTCTGGGAATTGAAGGTTGATGAATTACTGGGGCTATCGTGCCCCTTATAGGCTCTGTTACAACTTACAACTAAAACCCTAGACGACGCCGACGGAAGAAAGGCGTAAGGCGTAAGGCGAGGCGGTACTCCTCTCTATATTCTTTCCGACTTGTATTTTACTTTCCCCCGAAAGCCCAATGGACCACTTATCCCAGCCAACATTAATTCGGCCCTTAAATGCAAGTATTTGGTCTCCCGATGCTGTTGCTTGTACAGCATGATTCGTTCTTTCTAGCACATTATTTTTTTAGGAAAACTAATGAAAAGGGCTTGAAAACTTTGAGTTTTAATGATAAGGACAAAATAAAGGGTAAAGTGAATAGTACCATGATTGACTTTTTAGTGTAAAAATGTGGTTTTTCGTTAAAGTGAACAGTACCGGATGCTTTTCGTTAAAGTATCCTTTTTTTTTATGTTGAGTGGATGAAGCATTCGAAAATACCAAAAATGATCCTTAATTTCCTTCACAATCTAAATTCAAAAAAATAAAAAAATAGGACAAATTGGTAAAAAAAAAAAACATAACTAAACATAAAACTGTATTTAAAAAAAATAAAAAATAAAAAAACAAAAATATGTAAATAAGAACTAGAAACGTGCTGGTTCTGTAGTGAAAAATCAATTAGAAATAAATAAATAATAAAAGTAGAAAAGAAAATGAAAAAGTGAAAAAGAAAAAAAGAAAGAAAAAGTTTACGTGTTCAACCTCAAAGACGACGGAGAAAAAACACAAACGAGTTAACAGTTTTCTCCCAAGGATTCCCACAATCTAATCTTAGTTTAATGTGAGATCCAATAGTAACTACCCACGTACCATCAATGTTTAGAGATGAATTATCGGAAGGCAACCAATTTTCGTTTTCAACCGTCCTCTTATTAAGCTTTTCTCATTTTTTGTTCATGTGGATATTACTTGGCATGCATGCACACTCTATATTTCTCACATTTTTTTTTCCAATTTCCTAATGGAGTGGTGTGCTGTGTGCCTTCTTAGATATGTCAATATGGTGAAGCTTCAAATATAAAGTTGAATTTGTATAAAGTAATGAATTTATATTATTATTTTTATATCATTTGAATTCGAACCAATATAACTACCCACATACCATCAATATTTAGAGATGAATAATCAAAAGACAACCAATTTTCGTTTTCAGCAGTCCTCTTATTAAGAGTTTATCATATTTTAGTTCATGTGGATATTACTTGGCATGCATGCACACTCTATATTGCTCACATTTTTTTTTCCATTTTCGTAATGGAGTGGTGTGCTATGTGCCTTCTTAGTTCGATAATTAGGATTTCATGCTATTATTATTTTTATATACGATTAGCTAATCAATTTAGCCGGTTGACATTATAGATGAAATAGGGGGAGGTAGATCTTAATTGTTTCTACCCTCGTATTCTTGAAAAAAAAGAACACGGATGCCCTTTGGATCCATTATGTGGGGGTCATAAGAAATCTCATATCTCAACCGTTTATTGTATATCGTACGATTAATTTTTATCAGATACTATTTATGTTTAATTTAAAATAATAGATCCGAATGGAATCCATGTTAGAAAAAGAAATGCTAGCAGGACTCAGTTCCGCTAAACTCCCCCATTCAACTCCACGTGTAACCGAGCCTCCATAATTAATGGTGAGTCTGGAGTCTGAACCTCATTGTTAATTTAATAAAAAAATACCATTGAAAGTAATTTTATTCTCTCTCTCTCTCTCTCTCACCCTTCCCCTTCCTCTTCCTTCATCTCGACAAATCCAAGAACACCAAAATACCATTAAATTGATTTTTTTGTTTGTTTGTTGCAAGTTGAAGAAGGAGATATTATTTTTTTTCAATTGCTGAGTTTTGTTTAACTCCGCCTATGTCTTACATGGCCGGTCCCAAGCCCGGATAAAGGAGGAGGGGGAGGGCGTCAGGTAGTCGACAGCCGGCACTCCATGATCACGTCGAATCCTTATGAAAATGAATCCAGAACAAAATCACGCTAAAGCTAGGGCGTCACCCGTAAGTGGCGCGCTGTGTGGCCCGAGCACAGTGATAAGTGAGCAAGGGTCGCTGTATCTCCATCGGCACCCGGATGCAGTGTTAAATGAGCAAGGGGGCCATAGAAACTTCTTTTCGAACGACTCCACTCAAAGTTGTTTGGGAGCATATGCTCCTATCAACTTTACCCGGGACACACAAAAGAAGTACTTTGATCCTATTAGACGGGGGAGGGTGAAGAAGCTAGGACAGAAGGGTAGAGTTCAAGAGAGCAAAATGCGTTTAGGAACGTGGAATATAGGAACCTTAACGGGAAAATCTATGGAAGTAGTGGAAGTTATGGTGAGGAGAAGGATAAATATTATGTGCCTACAAGAAACTAAGTGGGTTGGTAGTAAGGACAAAGGATCTAGAAAACTCAGGGTTTAAACTTTGGTATTCGGGCACAAATAGAACGAGAAAACGGTGTTGGCATCATCGTGGACAAGACCTTGGTACACAAGATGTTGTAGATGTCAAGAGGGTAGGAGATAGAATCATGGCAATCAAGATTGTAATAGGACAAGAACTTATCAATGTGATTAGTGCGTACGCACCTCAAGTAGGGTTGGATACGAGTTCGAAGGAGAAATTTTTGGGAAGATCTTGGAGACTTGGTGCAAGGAATTGCTCAGACGGAGAAGTTATTTATAGGAGGAGATTTAAATGGACACGTGGGCAGGGAGACAGGCAACTATGGAGGTTTTCATGGTGGCCATGGTTTTGGGGAGAGAAACGAGGATGGGGAAGCTATCTTGGATTTTGCAATGGCATATGATCTCTTCTTAGCCAACACCTTCTTTAAGAAGAGAGAAGAACATGTGATCACCTACAAGAGTGGGTCGTCAAAAACACAAATAGATTTTCTTCTAATGAGGAAAGGGGATCGTATAACTTGTAAGGATTGCAAAGTTATACCAGGAGAGAGCGTGGCTAATCAACATCGCTTGTTGGTGATGGATGTACATATCAAAAGAGTAAGACAAAAGAACAAGACTTGGAAGTGCCCAAGGACTAGATGGTGGAATCTAAAAGAAGAAAAACAAGTCATTTTCAAAGAGAAGGTAATCACCCAATGTGTGTGGGATAGAGAGGGGGAAGCTAGCCAAATGTGGGATTCCATGGCTAGTTGTATCCGAAAAGTAGCAAAAGAGGTATTAGGAGAGTCCAAGGGCTTTGCCCCACACCAAAAGGAATCTTGGTGGTGGAATGAGGAGGTACAAACAAAGGTGAAGGCTAAGAAGGAATGTTGTAAAGCCTTATACAAGGAGAGGACCGATGAAAATGGTGAAAGGTATAGAAAAGCGAAGCAAGAGGCGAAGAAAGCTGTCAGAGAAGCTAAGTTAGCGGCTTACGACGATATGTATAAACGACTAGATACCAAAGAAGGAGAGTTGGATATCTATAAACTATCTAGAGCAAGGGAAAAGAAGACAAGGGACCTAAACCAAGTGAGGTGCATCAAGGATGAGGATGGAAAGGTTCTTGCTACAGAGAGAACGCGGTTAAAGACAGATGGAGAGGTTTATTTTCATAATCTTTTCAATGAAGGACATGAAATGAGTGCTTCTTTAGGGGAGTTGAGTAACTCAGAAGAGTGTAGAAACTACTCTTTTTATCGTCGAATCCGGAAGGAAGAAGTGGTTGTAGCTTTGAAGAAGATGAAGCATAAAAAAGCAATAGGCCCAGACGATATACCAATCGAAGTGTGGAAACTTTTGGGAGAGACAGGTATAACATGGCTCACTGACCTTTTCAATAGGATTTTGAAAACGAAGAAGATGCCAAATGAGTGGCGAACGAGCACTTTGGTGCCTATCTACAAGAATAAGGGCGACGTACAAAATTGCATGAACTATAGGGGTATTAAGCTAATGAGTCATACAATGAAGCTCTGGGAGAGAGTCATTGAGCATAGATTGAGGCAAGAGACACGGGTTTCGGACAACCAATTCGGGTTCATGCCAGGGCGCTCAACCATGGAGGCAATCTATCTCTTACGAAGATTGATGGAAAGATATAGAGATGGGAAAAAGGATTTACACATGGTCTTTATAGATTTGGAAAAAGCGTATGATAGGGTCCCAAGAGACATTCTTTGGAGGATTTTAGAGAAGAAAGGAGTACGAGTAGCATATATCCAAGCTATAAAGGATATGTATGAAGGAGCAAAGACTGCCGTAAGAACTCATGAAGGACAAACCGAAAGCTTTCCCATAACTGTAGGATTACATCAAGGCTCATCCTTAAGTCCTTACCTTTTTGCGTTGGTAATGGATGAGTTAACAGGACATATTCAAGATGATATTCCTTGGTGTATGCTTTTCGCAGACGATATAGTGTTGATAGATGAAACTCAGGAAGGGGTAAATGCAAAGCTTAACCTTTGGAGAGAAGTGTTGGAATCTAAAGGTCTTCGCCTAAGCCGATCAAAGACAGAATATATGGAGTGCAAGTTCAGTGCAAATGGAGGCCAAAACGAGTTAGGGGTGAGGATCGGAGATCAAGAAATACCAAAGAGCGACCGTTTTCGTTACCTAGGATCTATCTTGCAAAAGAACGGAGAATTAGATGGAGATCTCAACCATAGAATACAAGCTGGATGGATGAAGTGGAAGAGTGCATCCGGCGTGTTGTGTGACCGCCGTATGCCACTGAAGCTCAAGGGAAAATTTTATAGGACGGCAATAAGGCCGGCGATGCTGTATGGCACAGAATGTTGGGCGGTGAAACATCAACACGTACACAAAATGGGTGTAGCGGAGATGAGGATGCTTCGTTGGATGTGTGGGCACACGAGAAAGGATAAGATTAGGAATGAGGATATCCGGGGTAAAGTAGGAGTAGCCGAAATTGAAGGAAAGATGAGAGAAAATCGGTTACGGTGGTTTGGACATGTGCAAAGAAGGCCTACTGACGCTCCGATTAGAAGATGCGA